GTAAATAAGCCTCTTATTTTTAATTTGTTTGCCCTTGCATCCTTTGTCTTTGCATCTAGCTCAAAAGTAAGGCCTTGATCTTCTTCATCTTATATAAGCATTATGATAAACAGAAGTGATTTTACATGTTCTTATAAATTTGGTTGTATTCTAGTTTAAATTGTAATTTAGTTTCATTCAATGTAAAAGTTGTTAAATTCTGCATGAAAGTTGGGTTTTTTTTAAAAGGTGTAGTGGTGTCAGGAATTCAGCATAAGGTAACTTGACTAAATCACCATTTTAACAGCTTGTGCTGCTGGGCAGCTTACATCCCCTAAAACCAGGAAATAAATGACATAAATGTTGACCTCAGCAGAGAGGTGGACAAAGAGTATTCTTGGGGGAAAAAAAGTCTTTGTTTTCTAAGGTCAAAGATGTTTTCTTTTTTTCTTTTAAACCTTGCCACAGTTAAAATTCCACATTTCCTAGACTGCCCCTCAGCAAAAATCGGAGGTAGGCACTACCTATCATTTTTATAACAGTAAATTATGTAATGCTATTCAAGGACCAAGACTCTAGCCACTTTACTTAGATCTTGATTTGGTTTTAGTTCTTCCCTTCCCTCCTCCCTCTCCCGGTCCAGGCTTGATGCATTTCCTTTTTCTGGGTCCTGTTAAGGAGCAGCCCTATGCCGGAGACCCTGGGTTGCAGGTGAGCTCCCTGTCCGTGTCCTGTGACGATGCTCCTTTCCCTCTCACCATCCGTGCCAGACGCCGAGCTCCACCTCACACGCCTGCCGGCTCAGTGTTTGCTTCCATCTGCCACTTCCTCCTTGAAGATAAGCCTGGGGGATCCCCCTCAGGGGCTTCATCGTCCCTGGGCCACCGTGGCCACAGCGTACATGTTCTGTCTCCGGGAATCACACGCTCCCTTCCCACCGCCCTAAAGTCTTGCTCATTTCCCAGTGACCAGCTTCACCACAGTTTCTTGACAAGCCAGCCAGTCACCTTGACCAGCTTGGCTGTGATCGCAGTGGTCACACGCTTTGATCTTTCCTGACTGATATGTGTTCTGTATTCATTGTTTCTTCCTGAAAGAAGGATGCTCCACTATTTTAATTTCTCCTTTGGATTAAACTGAAAAGCAGTAGCTGCCTCGCTGAATACTGCTGGGAAAATTCACCCTTTTCTCCCTTCTCCTGTCCCTTCACTACCTCTGAGGGGTTTTGTTTTGTTGTTTTTTTACAGTATCGCTTCCTGCCAGTCTCAGACATGACTGTGCCAATTGAGACGTGTAGAGAACAACTTTTAACTCTTTCCTGTACGCTGTGTGGAAAGAACACCAGTGTTTAGAATGTTGGAACCATAACCAGGCAGCATTTCTGATTTTCCTGTTAGGAGCCTGTCTGCATGGAAGTGAGAACTGAAAACTAATTACATAAATTGCTAACCTTTGAAAGATTTTGTTTCAGCATTTCTGCCTCTAGGATGTCTATTTCACAGAGTAGTACCTTGTGAGTAGCAAATAAATTAGGTAGACATTCAGCTAATAATACTGCCAGCCCCACTTTTTAATGTTAAACATCTTTCAGGAGTTTTTGAACCACAAATCCATTGACTAGATGCTGATTGCCCAGTAAGCTATCTCATATCACCAGTTGTTTGATGAGATATGAAGTGAATTAGAATTCAAAGATAATGTCTGGAAAATTTGCTTCTTATTAAGATTAAAAAATTCTCATGTGTACACATAGTTCAGCTGGTATCAGTCTTATTCTTTACTGTTTCTGATTTTTCCCCTTGTGTGGCCCTCAGACCTCACAGGCTTGTATCACATGAGCCCTTCTTGGAGTCACTGGGTTGTTTCTCTAAATATTGGGCCATGGATGGCTGTTCATCGAAGCTCACTGTGCCTAGGGAACCACCAGCCCTCTGGATGGATGTTGGGCTCTAGAATGTCCTGTCATCACATCATGGCTTCTGCTGAGTCCACTTGCTGTGCTCTGGCAATGCCAAGGGCCCTCTTGAAGATAGCCCTGCTGGAAACCGCCGGGGGGGGGGCGGGGTGTTGCGTGGGTGGACCTCCTGTGAATTGGAGAAATTTGTGAGCCGTGATGTCAACAATTGTGCTTTTCTTAGAGCCAAGTATACTGTTGTTGATTAATAGATAATGGGTTGTTTATCTTGGAGTTGTTTGTATTGGCAGATGCCCTGACAGATTCAAAGGCTGTCTGTAAATGAAGAATGCCCTCACTGTTTATTCAGCTCCTGCTTTTCTATTTAATATGCAGCTATCTTGGGAAATTTTCTTGAATATCAAATCACAAGTAAAATTTAAGGAGTTTTTCCCCCAAATTTTTCAAATAGGCCATTAACTATGACTTATTCTCAAATGCCTCTGATGATTTGGATGTGTGTATAGCTGGAGGGGGAAGGGGAGAAGGGAATAAAGTCCAGAAGTTTGCTACCGAACTGTACTGGCCACAACTGCAAAGAGTTCAAGTGCATTCCTGGTTGACGGTCGGTCTAGCACAAATTAGCTGCTGAGCATTCAAAGAGAAACGTGCAAAGTGCGAGGCAGCAGGGCTTATGGGGGGATTGGGTCAGGAAAGGTGGATGAAGGAGGTGGGTTTGATGGTTGATACAGGATCACCAGGGTGGCGCATGGAAGCAGAGCAAATTACATTTTGGCAGGAAAACGGTGTTTTGGAAGATTTGTGGCATCATCAGCGGCAGGTGTTCTTAGAACTGTAAGTTCAGTAATCCTGGAGCATAAAACACGGAAGGAGTGGCCTTGGGAAGATGGGAATACAAGGCCCAGATAATGAAAATCCTGAGCCATCTCTCAGACAGTAGTGACAGCTCCATGATGTGTAGCCCTGGCCAAAGACAGGGTGAAGCCAAACGATAGACTTGTCCTCTCTTCATTGTTTCGTCACCTATGCTCAGATGTTCTCAGTATCTGGAGGTTCTTATTGTATAAAAGGCCATTTGTTAATAATATTTTCATGTTCCAGTGGCATTTTTCTAGAGACTTGAGTTTTGAGGAGAGCCTGTATGTGTAGAGAGTGAAGGAGAGTTCTGAGAATGGGTTTATGACTTGGTGACAGGGAATATAGGAAAACAAAGGGGGAGACATCTCTGTCCTGCATACCATCGCTTCCCCAGTGCTAGCAAGTCATGTTGTCTCCGTGTCAGTTGCTTAATAATGGTGGTTGAATATATAATGCATGAGACATAGCTATTTTAAAATAATATTTTAAAATAATTTTCATGGCTTCTTGTCACCACTGGCCAACTACTTCACAGGAGGCAAAGGCTAAAATTACGATAATTGGTCAAACAGTTGAACATCTTCCAGTGGGGAAAATCTTGAATAAAATTAATTGATACTGCTTCAGTGTAAGTTATAGAAAATTGAATTTCTTTTAATGCTTTTAATGCTTTAGGGGAATACACACAAACAAGAACGAAAACTTTTTCAGTTGAGTTTAAGTATTGCAAAGTAATAAATGGATGGGGCTTATTTTTGAGAACTTTTCTGTATGCTTGGAAACCAATAAAGATCATTTTGAGATAAAAGAAAATTCAACTGTGAGAGAAGGGGAGAGAATGAGTGTGTGTGTACTGGGAGTTGGATATACATAAGTAATAAAGTTAGAAATCCCTTATTTTATTTTATTTTACTCTTTTTAGGTGCTGGTGAATCTGGGAAAAGTACAATTGTGAAGCAAATGAAGTAAGTAGATTTAAAACATTAAATGGTTTTTATGTTTACATGTACCCTTCCATCAAAGGAAGTAAGCGTTCTGTGTCTCCTTTTGTCTCATTAGAATTATCCATGAGGCTGGTTATTCGGAAGAGGAATGCAAGCAGTACAAAGCAGTGGTCTACAGTAACACCATCCAGTCAATTATCGCTATCATCAGGGCCATGGGGAGGTTGAAGATTGACTTCGGTGACTCAGCCCGGGCGGTAAGTGACTGGAGTCCTTGCAGCTGGCCTGATGAATGGAAAAGAATACACAACTTGCATGATAAATCTGTGTTACACAGTATGGTGTTATCAGCTATCTCAGGACCAAAAGGATAGTAGTGAGTGAAGCAGATTAGAAGCTTTAGAAGTTTTGCATAATTCCCTTTATTTTTTTACTGAAGCTCTGGAGATTGAGCCCAGGACCTCGTGCAGGCTAAGCATGCGCTCATCCACTGAGCTATACCCTCCCCCCTCATCTTCCCTTTAGAACTAGAATACTTTCCTTATCCATCAGATGATTTGGACAACTCAGTAACTATTACAGTATTTTCTTTATCACGTGGCGGATTGGGTACCTCTGTGTCTACAGAGCAATTTTTAGTAGTTACTCCTGAGTTTAGTAAACTGCCTACACTGCCATTCTTCAAAATTCATGATTTGGAATGCTGGAATGATCTAATTATTGGTATTCATGCCCAGACTAAAAAGCAGTCTAATCTCATGTAATGAAGACAGTATAAAAGTTTGCCTATCTTTGGATCAGAAAATATTGGCTGTTAGAAAACATCTTTCATAACTTCAGAGCTAGAGGCACAAGGACCTCAGGAGACAAGCTAGTTCCACCCCTTTATTTTATCAGTAAAGAAACCGGTACCCAGGAGCTCTCATGACAGGAAGAGTGCTGCACAGTGGCAACCAAGGCTCTGTGCCCATGCTTGCGTATTTGGCCCAGTGTGAAACTTGTGTTCAGTCTGACTGGAAGCAGCCCCAGCCCAAACCAGCCTAGCCCATAGGATATGTTCTATTTCTTCTTTTCCCCTGGCCCCAGTTTGTTTGCTTAATCTGTTTATTTCAGGTTTTATTTGTGTATCATTTTTTTCTTCACTTACTCTTTTTAAATAACTGAGGAAAAACTTGACCTTCCCCAGAAAGTCCCAGAAAACTTTAACTGAGTCTCTAGATTTAATTTTTAGTATTTTTGTGCAAAGTAGGTATATTATTCTACCAGTACTTTTTCTAGTTCCTTTTTAATGTGTCCAATATATGGTGTGCTATTCCCTAATAATACTGTGAAGATCTTTTGCACAGAGACTGAACCTTTTGTCTTCTTAGTATCTGCTAGATTTTTTTTTTTTAAACATAGAGGCTCAATTCATGCCTAATGGAAAAAAAAAATGAATGAAAGCACTACTTCGGAGAAATCTGTAAAACAAACCTGGTGTGTTTTTTATGTTACCCTAAAATTTCTTTATGAGTTGCTAGCCCATACTAATTTACTAAGCTTTTCCTTTTAAATAAAGATTAAAAAGCTTAGTGGAATGAATTAAAATTTTTAAATAGATTTCAAGATCTTTTTAGTAATAATTCATAACATTCCTCTAAATTATCTTTTCTGAAATAGGATTTGATCATATCTAGACAATTTTTGCCTTATCTACTATCCATTCAGGCTGTAACTTACTCATTTATTCATTCAACAGATACTTTTTGAGCTTGGTGTTACACAAAAGAGAACTGCCCTTAGATAAAGTAGAGAATTGAATAAATTGTACTTTGCGTTAATTCCAGTTCACATATACAGTGTTCAGCATTCAGATCTTACATGTGATTACTGGAAAGGTTTTGTAGCCTCCATGCTAGGAGGTAATGTAGGGTCAATGCAAGCAGCTTTTTATGAGGTTTTATTTTTCATATTTTTCTCTGAAGGAATGTTGTCATTTTCTGTCCTTTTTGGGGCAGATTTGGGCTTAGTTTCAGGCCTTACTGAGAATAACTGCTCTCTCACCACAGGCTTTTGTTTAAAACTGGTTTTCTGATGGTTTGGAATCTACGTGTGGGCCTCTCTGCTCTTTGTTGGTCACTGGTGCTAGTTTCACTGCTCTTTTTAGACTCTCTAGCTGTGCCCTAGTAACTGTTTTCTTCCTCCTTCCAACTGTTCCTTCTCTTTGCCTTAGCCGCGGTTCCTAACTCATCCACATGAGTGTCCTCAGGCTCCCTCATTGGTTCTGACTGGTCTACTCCATGTCTTATGTCGCCCTGCCTCTACGCAAGCTTTAAGATACTGTAAGGCTCTTGAAATTGTGCTAAGGAAAACAAAGATGAATTCAACATGGCCTGGACATGAGGAGAGGATTTTTGAACTTGGTATTGAAATATGTGTTAAGAGTTTTCTAGACAAAAACACAGGAAAGGTATTCTAGAAGAAACAAAGGCTGAATGCATGTTTTCCTAAAGTATCAATTCCTGGAAGTATTAGCCTTAGTTAAAGGTTACTCCAGGTTTCAGTGACAGGTATCATGGATTTGTTTTCAGAAAAAACAGTGTGAAAATCTCTTCTAAGAGCTGCACATCAGTGTCTGCTTTCCCAGAGTCTCGTCACCTTAGATATCAACATTATAATTTTTAATATATTAGTGAAAAATATTTTTTTCTTTTTAGTTTTTACTTTCCTAATGTTTAGAGAGGTTAAGAATCTTTTTGCCTTTTTGCATTTCTTCTGTGGACTCCTCTTAGTATTCTTTACCCGATTCTGTTAAAATTTTCATACTGAGTCTAAACAACAGGGATGTTAATTTTTTACGGTTTTTCTTGTTATAGAATTCTTAATTTTCTGCAGTCAATTCTGACTTGTGTGTACAATTTTTTAAAAATTCTCTTATTTTTCTAGAATGTTTGGTTTTCTGTGTTTTTTGTTTGCTTGTTTGTTTTTAAGGTTTCTCTCTTAACGCACCTGGAAATGTTATTTGCTGGGTGGAATCTAAGTGTATTTTATAATCTGATCATCTCTTGCCTTACATCCACATATCATAAACTCTGTTCCTGAGAGACTTGAAAATGCTATCTTTAGCACAGGGAAATATATACAAGATCTTGTGGTAGCCCACAGTGAAAAAAAAATGACACGGAATATATGTATGTTCATGTATAACTGGAAAATTGTGCTCTACACTGGAACTTGACAGAACATTCTAAAATGACTCAGTAAAAAAATGTTTAAAAAATACAAAACAGAAAAAAGAAAAGAAAAGAATGTGCTACCCTTAGATTAAATTGGGTGTGTTTCTGTACTCCATTTTTTCTCTCACTGATAGATTCTTTTCTTTCCCAGCTTAGCCACTTATTAAATTACTTAGGTTAAGTTTGTTTCATCATAATCAGATGGAAATAATAGTATCTACCTATGGGAAATAATGACAACCCTTTACTACATGCCTTGGTCAACAGATGCTCAGTAAATGTTTAACTGCTGTTACTTTATTTATAATGCTTATACTACTATTGTTATTTTCATCAGTCTAGTTATTTTAGTGTCTGTGGCTTCATAGGATGTTGGTATCTGGTAGGGTAAGTGCACCCATCCCATTGTTCCTTTTTCTACCAAAATGTCAAGGCTGTTCTGCATTTCTCTTCCAGATGAATTTGAGAATTAACTTAATTCCTCACATCCCTGTTGAAACAAAACAAACAAGAAAAAGCCTGTTGGTATCTTGATTGGAATTACATCTTTAATATGTAGGTTAACTGGAGGAAAATTGACTAAAAGAGGTAAAATTTTAAGAGACAGTGACTAATCTGCTGTGGTTTGCTTCATATTAGGTAGCTAGCAGATTATGCATTAGTTACTTAAAATGAAAGGAAACAAAATTGTTTCCAAAGCTGGCATAGAGCAATCAAATTTTGTGCCCAATATCTTTTCAAAACTTTCTCATAATGAGTGTAGTCAATCTGTGGATGACAGCATATTGATAAATTAGATTATTTTGTTTTTAATAATGTGCAGTTAAGGAAGCATTACACAGGGCCTAACAGCATGTCTTAGCACGCATTGCATCACTTAAACTGCTGCTCCGTGTGGTCCATGGACAGTGCCTGTGCACACGCCTGTGCACCACGTGAGTGCAGAAGTAAAGGCGAGCAATTAGACAAACTTAGAGCCATTGACAGAGTAATTTCTATATTAACTCCAATAGTTTACAGAAATGTATTTGTATTTGATGTCATCTAAATGACATTTTTTTCAATAGTATTAGTTTTGAAATAGACTAGAGACAAAATAAAATAGATACAACACAAGACTGGTCTTTAATCACAGAAAGCTTGAGAAGCACTTCCTCAGAATAAGCTAGGCTGTAAGGAACAGGAAACCTAGCCTTGAACTGACTTAAGCTCCCCTCCCACCCCCACCCCCCAGCCTGAGCATGCTCCTGCGTAATGGCCCCTTTTCTTTCCTCTAATTTTATAATTTCATTAGTCACATTATGTCTGCCTGCCGAATCTGCCAGATTGTTCTTGAGAAAGGTTGTATCAGTCTGCCTTCCTAGCAGCAGCACTTTTTCTTAGCACTCTGAGTAGCCAAAATTTACAAGTCTTACATTTTAAAAATATTGGCTTCAGTTTGATTTGCATTTTTGGTTTTTAAATGTGACTACAGTTTCCATGTCTTTATTTGCTCTATTTTTATTTCTCTCTGTTAGTGGCCTACTTTATCCTTTAGTTATTTACTGATTGGAGTCTTGGTGTTTTGATGATCTCTTTGCTTGCTTGTATGTGCATATATATTGACCCTCTGTCCAGCAATGTGAATGTTCCCTCACATTTTGCTTATTGCCTTTAATCTTACATTTTCTTTTTTTAATTATTTTTTAAAACACTTTTTATTGATTTATCATCATTTTACAATGTTGTAACAAATTCCAGTGTTCAGCACAATTTTTCATACATGGACATATTCACACTCATTGTCACATTTTTTTCTCTGTGAGCTACCATAAGATTTTGTGTATATTTCCCTGTGCTGTACAGTATAATCTTGTTTATCTATTCTACAATTTTGAAATCCCAGTCTATCCCTTCCCACCCTCCGCCCTCTTATGTTTTCTTTTAAAAAATCATCCCCTGTTATTTCTTCCATTACATTTAAATTTAAAAAATCTCTCAAAGATTTACCAGATATTCATGCTGTATTACAAGTTTTTTGGGGAGTGAATTTTAAGTGTTTCTGTTTCTTCTTTAATCCCTCTGAAATTTACTTTGTTGTGTGCATGGAATAAGGATCTACATTATTTTTTTCCCCTTCAGATGTCTAATTATTCATAAGTGGTTTTTTTTAATAATCATATTCTTTCCTGCTGATTTATCTTGCCATCTTACATTACTCGAGATTGTGGGTTTTTTCCCCCTTTTGATCTGTATTAATAGCAGTCTGTTCTACATATTGTAGACTTTTTAGTATCTTATAATTTCAGCCCTTTTTCCCTAGCACTTTTTCTCAAAATGTTTCTAGTTATTTCTACTTGTTATTTTTCCAGATGAATGTTTGAGCTATTTATAGTAGTAGTCTGGTGTATGTTTGAGAACTAAAATGATGAAGTTACTGTTTTTGATTCTGTGAGAGGCTATTATGTATCTCTTGACCTAATAACCATTTCATATCTTCTGAGTCTTCCAAACATACAGTTATGTGAACTAGAACTTAAATTCTTTACACATTTTACTTTCATTTAGTTCTTAGTCATCTGAAAACATACTAACTTGCCTACATCCTCGGATTTTTTTCTTGCTATTCACAAATAATTGCCTGGCAAATAGATTTCTTTCTACCACCACCAAAGAGCTCCTGTGACCTGCTTTACTTACCTAAGGCCCTTTAGTGACCTCTACCCTGTTTCTGCATCACACTGTTTTGGTACACTGAGGTTTGTCTTTCTTAAATGTTTTTACGTAATATTTTACATGAATCTTGAAAATACTTCAGTCCATGATGAGATAGGATTACTGTCTTCATTCTGCAAGTTTCAAATTTATCTTGTATGTAAACAATTACTTAGTAATTGTTGACTAATATGTATGATTAAGTGACTTTTTGGAACTTTAAA